ATCGAGTGAGTCAGATGAGGGTTGCTAGAGTGCCAGGTGTCCCTTTGTTGAAGTCCGAGGGTTCTGTCAGTGAGTGGGATGTTGTAGGTGTCCAGTCCTCAGTCTATCAAGCATGGGTTGAGGGACACTGCGGACGTTTGGCCGAGTTGGAGGCTGAGGTCAAGCGTGAAAGACTAGAGCTCCGGTGTTTGCAGAGGCAGGTTCACCGATCGTTGGTGGGAGATGGCGAGCCGAATGGGTTGGAAGGCGTGGCTGAGAAAGCGGCGCGTGTTGAGAAGGGCGTCAGGGCGCTGGATGGGTTTATCAGGGCTGCGAGGCCAGAAGTAGATGCTACTACTTGCCATGCGCATGGGGACAGCGACGGGGATAATGGTGGGGAGTCGGGTGGAGTCAATGAGCAAGCTTTCCCCACCACCAGGGCAGTGCCTTTGTCGGAGGTTGTGGCTGAGGCCGAGCACTGGCGACAGCCGTTTGTGGAAGAGCACAGTGCTCTTCTCCATGATTTTCAGGTCATGCGGAAAACATGTGATGCAGAAATTCAGTCCTTTAAGGAGCGAGGGTGGACCATTGAGCGAGCTCCCATGAAAGCTGTGTGTACTAGGAAGGCCCAAACCGGAAGGCGGAGGGCAAGGCTGGTACTGTGCAGGAATTTCCTGGGACCTGCTCAGGGCGGTGATCGCAAGGGTGAGGGCTCCCCCACTCTCAATCGCACGCATCTCTACACACCTTCTTTGGATGCCACAGCTCTACGACTTCAGCTGAAATGGGCAGCTGAACATGGGAAAGACGCAGGGACCACAGACATCTCTAAGGCTTTCTTGCATGCTCCTTTAGATGAGCTCCGGGCGAAGAAACGCTTAGTTGTAGCACGCAGTCCTCGGATCTTAGAGCGGCTGGGAGTGTTGAGCCAGGTGATGCTAGCCCCAAGGCTTGGGGACAACACAGAGATGCACGTCTGCGGGAGTTGCGATGGACGAATCATGAGGGTATGCTGTGCAAGCTGGTGCAGTTGAAAACGGAGCCGTGCTTGTGGAGGGTCGTGGGCTGTGTCCAGCAAACCAGTGGCAGTGACCAAGGATCGCAGCCGGGCCACGTTTCAGGGGGAGCAGGGCAAGTTTGGGGGACTGGGCAGAAGTCTGGGGGAGAATCCTCGTGTAGCGCCGGGGATGGGCAGTGGATCACTCTGGGCTATTTGGGAGTCTACGTTGATGATTTGTTGTGCACTGCTGACACCCAGGACATCCGGTCCGTTTTCGCTGCGATTGAAAGTCTCTGGCCGTGCAGCAGCGCAAGTGTTGCTAGCGAAGGGCCTCTCAAGTTTTGCGGCATCCAGGTGATGAAAGTGGGCTCAGGCTTTGCCGTTCACCAACGTGATTACATACGGGAGCTTTTGGAGAAACATGGAGTAAGTGGTTTTGCCTCCACGCCGGTAGCCAGGGAAGAACCGCCCCCGGAGGAAGAGATAAGCACGGAAGCCTTGCGTGCTGCACAAGGGTTAGCAGGGGAGCTGCTTTGGTGCAGCTCTCGTTGTCGACCCGATCTCAGTTTCGGGGTTTCCCGCATGAGCTCAGTGTTGTCCAAAGCGCCTAAATATGCATACGGGTGTGGGCTGCATATGTTGCGGTATCTTAACCTGACTCAAGGGTATGCTCTCATGTATTGCTCGAGTGCGGAGCTGGAAGGGGGCAGACATCACCTACCGGTGCGATGCGAGAGTCATGTCCTTGAAGCTTACACAGACGCTTCATTCGGACCCAACTCTGATAGAAGTCAGTCGGGTGTGTGCCTTGCGCTGGGAGGGTCCGCGGTGAATTGGATAAGCTGCAAACAGACATGTGTATCTTTGAGTTCGACAGAAGCTGAACTGGGAGCTGCCTCCGAAGGGGTGGTGGTGTTGGACAGCATCGGGCCGTTAGCGGAAGAGATTTTCCAAAGGGAGTGCTCGTATTGGCTCTACAATGACAATGTTGCGTGTGTTGTCACATTGAGTTTGCCATCGGGCAAGTGGCGCACGCGCCATTTGCGATTGCGGGGGCGACACATCCAGGAAAGAGTGGAGTCTGAGCACCTTCATCTGCATCACCTTCCGGGGTCTGTCATGTGGGCTGATCTCCAAACCAAGGCGTTGTCGGGACCTCGTGTGTTGGAACTGGTCAAGGCCATGGGCTTTTGTGTTGGCGATGTGAACACGTCTGTGGTTGCGGATGGAACAGCTTGTGATGCGGCGCGATCGCTTGAGCATGCTCGTGCCTTGACTGTACTGCTGGCGGCGGTGAAAACTGGGCTCGTCTCAGGGGCGAATACCACGGGCGATGACGACGCACTTCCTCCAGCAACCACGGGGTTTGAACATTCAGGGCCTGGGTGGGTGGTCTAGTCGGGTGCTCTTTCAGTGGCCGGGGTAGTGGTTCTTTGGGTTTTCCTTGCGACTGTGGGTGGATGAATCCGTGTCATCTGCTGGGTGGTATCGCAGTGTCTGTGAGGTGAGTGGTGGCGGTACGATTCCACATCGGCCGATGCCACGAACGGAGCGCAAAGCGCTTTGGGCTCGTGATTGTCAGAAAGCTGGCCGGGGCAGTAGATCCCGGAACTTGCGTGTTTGAAGATTCTACGGCAGTGTGAGCTGGCCGGGACAGCAGATCCCAGGGGCTCGCTGTGTGAACTCGCTAATGTGAGCTGGCCGGGACAGTAGATCCAAGGGGCTCGGGGTGTTTGAAGCATAGTGGCCGACATGACTGAAGCCTAGGCGTGTCTTGGCCAATCCGGCTCTTGGTGGATCCAGAGCAACGAGGGTGGTCGATGTCGTATTGTTGTGCGAAGCACAGCAATAGGGGGAGTGCTTGTAGATCGAGACTTGCACTCTCGCACTCCCCTGAGGTGCGAAGCTGAGCATGGCCCCTGCGGGGCGGGATGACACGCACCTTCGGAACTTGGGGTTTGGCTCAAGTAAAAAGGGGTGTGGGATGTTTGAGTTTGGTGTTTGTTGGGGAGTTCTTGGAGGCTTTGAGGTGAAGGTTGGTGGTGGCTGTAGTCGCCGGGTGTGGGAAAGCGGTGTTCGTAGAGAAAGTACCCTAAATAGCCACGATGAAGGACCATAAGGGCTCTATTGAGGGGCACTTGGGGGTCCTGGTAAAGGGGCTTAATCACTAGCTCAACAACTTGTCCATAATGGTAGTGTATATGGACCCTAAACCCTAAACCCTACTTGGAGGATCACGGGACTTAGTAAGTAAGGTTATAAGTGCCTTAATTGGGGTTGTAAGTAGTTATAGGTATAGTTACCCCTAAATATAAACCTAGTTACGAAGTCCCATGATCCTCCAAGTATAGAACCCTTAAAGGAACCCCTAAAGCAGCCCTTGAAGGAAGCCTAAACCCTGTAGAACCCTTAAAGGAACCCCTAAAGGAGCCCTTAAAGGAAGCCTAAACCCTAACCCCTATAAAACCTTTAAAGGAACCCCTAAAGGAGCCCTTAAAGGAAGCCTAAACCCTAACCCCTATAGAACCCTTAAAGGAATCCCTAAAGGAGCCCTCAAAAGAAGCCTTAAAAGCTCAGCAACTTGTCCCGGAGCATCTCGCACATGGCATTCGCCACCTTTGGCCGGTCCTCTGGAAAGCTAAAAGAACCTGGGTAGTTGTCAGAATTGAAGTCCCTTTTACCCTGAACCCTAAACCCTAAACCCTATTAGGTGCCGTACTATATTAAGGACCCAAAAAAGGGACCCTAATTTTAACAACCACCCACCTTCTCCCACGGGGCACTTCACCCAATCGAAAGTGGTGGCCTGCTTGGGGGTTTAGGGTTTAGGGGTTTAGGGGTTAAGGGGTTTAGGGTTTAGGGTTTAGGGCTTTGGTGTTCAGGGTTTAGGGTTGACAAGTTTTCGGACGTAGGGTTCGGGGGCACGGTGGCCCGCGTGAAACGGCACCCTAAACCTTGAACACTCAGACTCTCTGTCAAAGATACGACTTAGATGCGCTTAGTTGAGCTTGGAGCTTATGGTTTAGGGTTCCCCTAAACCCTAAACCCTAGATGATAGACCCTACCAAAGCCTCAGTCAAATGGGATGCACTCTGGATCTCGATCATCACGCTCGCGTTCTCGCGCTTGCTCAGAACGCGGGCCATACGCTCGAAGCGACACCAAGCCTGGGAGGTTCCGTCGGTTTTGGGTTTAGGGTCCTTTACAGGGATCTACAAGGGTCCTATGAGCGATCGAAAGGGCTGTTGGGTTTAGGGGTTTAAGGTTTAGGGTACAACGGTTTTGGGTTTAGGGTTCCTTTAAACTACAAGGGTTCCATGAGGGAATTGCAGGGCTTTAGTGTTTAGAGGTTTAGGGTTTAGGGGTTATAGAGTTTAGGGTTTAGACTTCCTCCTAGAGACAAACTAAAACCCCTGGTTCTTATTGGGGCATGGGCGAATGGGCTAGAGGGACTGGCGGAAGGTTCTCTAAGAGACTATATATGGATCCGGTCCCCAGATCTCCTAAGACCGGGCAGACAAACGTAAGACTCCGCGCGTTTAAAGTTGCGGAGTTCTTGATGTGAGTTGAGGGCCTCAGCGGTTTGCGCAAGGTTTGGGCTTCTTTTACCCTCAACCCTACACCGTCCGTAAACCCTTAAACCCCTAAACCCTAAAGCCCTATAGATCCCTTCTAGAACCCTTATGGATCCCTTCAAAGGAACCCTAAACCTTATTAAATGTGCCCCAAGTGAATCCCAGAAGCTCGCTGCGACCAGGAATGACGGCCCATGAGGTCTCCATTCCTGGGTTCTTAGCGGCTCTTTTAAAGGGATCTATAGGGGTCTAGGGTTCCTTTAAAGGGATCTAACCAAAGGTAAGGGTTCTTGTCAAGGGATTTAATTTAAGGTTTGGGGTTTGGGGTTCAGGTTTGGGGCTTAGTGTTTGGGGTTTAGTGCTTAGGGTTTGGGTTCCGGGTTCCATACATACCATAATAGGGATCTATAGTAGATAACATTGTTTCCTTATTGAGCTCTCTGAAATTAAATCCCTGAACAAGAACCCAGATTCTCATGCCGCACGAAGGGTGCGAGGATCACGAAGTACTTGCTGGACTCAACGTACGCAGGAATGCTACTGATGGCTGCATGCAGGTTAGTCCGATCCTCCTGAGGGCAGCTGAAGTAGTCATACCACACGAAGAGCTCCCGTGGCGTCACGGTTTGGGTCTCTCCAGGGGGCCGCTTCATGTTCAGGATCTCCGACTCAATGCTTCGCTGTATCCGACGCCCCTGAAGTCCTGGGCGCAGCGCCTCCTGCAAGACCCGAAGCTGCTCGCCGGAGGAGTCCTAGTTCATGGTTGGGATAGCATCAAGGGTTTAGGGTTTAGTCCATTGTTTCGGATTAAGTACCCAGAAAAATGCAAAATCTTACCCAAGTATGACAAAGAGTCAGGATGATGAAGCCCCGTCCACTGGTGAGACACGAAGATCACATCACCCATAAAGGATCGGAAGCTTACCAAGAGCCCCTCACTCTCAAGCTCCTCGTGCGGCTTCGGCGTCACCATCTCCAACAACGTCTTCAGGAAGACCACATGCATTGTGAAGAGCATCTCGATGGAGCTCTTTGTGCGACGGAGGCTGGGGCCGACGTTGCCATCCGCCCGAGCTTTTTGAAAAAGTTCATGGCCCTTCGGCATCCCTACATGCTCATTTGAGCGCTTCTTTTCTTCCTTCCACCTTGGGGCCCATCCTTGAGGCGACGGACGTCGTGGAAATGCCAAGGATAAAAACACATGCTTTAGGCTTTAGGGTTTAGGGTTTAGGGTTTAGGGTTTAAGGATAAAAACACATGCTTTAGGGTTCAAGGTATATACTTGTGGGTGATGAGAGAAAACAGCAAGACTAACACCCGCAAGCTGCAACCACTAGCCAGATGACGACACTTACCATGAGGATACATATGTGCCGTAAAATGGACCAGTCGTGACCCGTCTCTAAGCCCATGTTACATAACCCTGAAACTATCCCTGAAAATGCCCCTTGCAAAAGCCCTTGAAACACCCTGGTTCTTAGTACGGTTGAAGGAATGGACTTAAAGCCTGAAGTTACTGGCGTAGGAATCCTTTGCCCCATTCACTACTAAGAACCAGACGGGTTAAGACGGCCTAACTGTGGATTTCATATTTCGAGTTTCAGGGGTGTAGTGTTTCCGCAAGCTTGAAGGCCTGCGTCGTTGAGATTTTAAGGCAGTTCTTTACACAGTCCTTGTAATCCCTCCTAATCCCTTAACCCTAAACCCTGCACCCAACACCATAGCCCAATCAGAGGCCTGGTCCAGCAAAGGGTTCAGGCTTATTGGCTGAAAGGGATTCAGGGTTACTCTAAGCGCTTTAAGCCTTGGTTCTTTGAAACAGGGTTCTGGCGGTGTTTGGGGAGTACCTAGAGGACCATGGGACTTAGTAAGTATGGTTATAAGTAGGTTATAATTAGGATAACCCCACTTGGGGGACTTATAACCATAATTATAACCTACTTACTAAGTCCCATGTTCCTCTATGTAGGGGCTTAGGGCATAGGAGGTGAAGGGTTAAGTTGGGGGCTCTGGGCTTTCAGCTTTTGTTGAATCTTGCACACTTGGAGGATCATGGGACTTAGTAAGGTGAGCCTTAGGGTTAAGGGTTCCTTTAAAAGGAATCTATAAGGGTTCCTATAATGGGATCTATAAGGGTTTAGGGTCTACTAGGAGGATCATGGGACTTAGTAAGTAAGGTTATAAGTACCTTCATTGGGGTTATAAGTAGTTAGAAGTATGGTTTCCCTAATTGTAACCCTTGTTTCTAAGTCCCATGATCCTTTAAGCAACTATCAAGCCTCAACGCCTTTGGAAGGATGGGGAGAGCAGAGCTGTAAGAACTCTACCAAGTAAAGGTCAATCCAGTCAGCGACGGGAGTTTCCAAAAATAGGGGACCCTAATATAGTACCCTAAATAGTAGGATCCTTATTAGAAGGACCCCAAAATAAGGTACCCCTTATTTCCGGACACCGAGTGCAACCGGCTGCGATCGAAACCTGGAGAGATCTTCGACACCCGGATCCATCTTACGAAAGGCGCGGTTGCACGTTCATTCGGCTACAGGGTCTACGCTTTATTCGGGCGCCTAAACCCTACACCCTAAATCCTGAAGTCTAACCCTCAAACCATGGGCCCTCCACCCGAAACCCTCAAAACCCCAATCCCCTAAGTCTAAGCTCTACAGACTCAGTGGTCTTTAAGTTGCTTCAGGATGCAAAGAACAAGCGGTTTAGGGTTCAGGGTTAAGAGATGGCAGGTGTATAAAAGGTCTGCTTGCAGGGGTTGTGGCGTTTCCACAAGTTTTGCAGGGTTTCCACAAGGGCTTTACCAGGGTCTTGGTCTCTTGTAAGGGCTTTAGAAGGGCTTCATATGATGATGGGAGCTATTTTGTAAAATGATATCTCCTACAGAAATCGAGAACTTTCTTTAATATTAAGTTAGAAGGTTCTAGGATTTATGGCTTGGGGAAACTCCATGGGCTCTGTCAGACTACGAACACATCTGCCACAGCTAAACGTCACCCCGTCAGACCGAACCTAGACGTTAAGGCGCCCAACTCTAAACCCGAGCCGAAGCACTTAGCCTAAGAACCCTTAATACACAACCCTCGCTAGATCCCAAACCCTAAGATCAAGAAGCCTACATCCTAAAGCCCAAAACCCTGAGCTCCTTGACCCCTAAACTCCTAGACCCTAGACCCTAGATCCCTTTCAGTAACTCTTAGTGCAGTCCTTAAACTACAAGAAAACCGCTATAAAACCATCAAGCTTTGATGGATGGTTCGACATCCTTCTGCGGTCTCTGCAGGCTCTAGGGTTTACCGCTCTGGCTTTTGATACCGCTAAAGATACCGCTAAGGGGTTCTGAGCAGCTTAACACTAGGACTACTACTACGACGACAACTCCTGCCACTGCTAAAGGGTTATGGGGTTTAAAGTAATAGCGCATGGGCTCTAGCGTTGAGGATTATAGCGTACTGGGTTTAGCTTTCCGGTTAGTTGACTAAATTTACAATAACTTAAAGTTTAGGGTTCTCGTTTTGGGCTTCGCGTTCTGGGGAATCTATTGAGAGTCCAGGGTTTAGAGTTTGGAGTTTAGGATTTTAAAGCATTCTAGAGCTTAGTACAAGCTATCAGCACGAATCGCAAAGTCAGAGTCCTGCACGATTTCATGGTCGGTGAGGCACCCGTGAAGGACTTCAGCGTGGCTTCTTTGAGATGCCACCGGAGATGCCACGACGCCGCTTTTTGGGTGGCAAGCTCTGGTCAACCAGCAAACGCATGACTTCCACGTGGCCCTCCTGAGAGGCTAATGTCACGGCTGTGAGACCGTCATTGTTGGCCAAATTCCTGTCGGCACCGGCCCCTAGCAGCAGACGAAGAACTTTCAGATGACCAAGAGAAGAAGCGAACATCAGAGCAGTGATTCCGTCTTGGTTGGCCAGATCTTTGTCGGCACCTGCCTCCAACAGATCATGCAGAACTTCCAAGTTGCCTTCTTGAGAAGCCATTATCAAAGCAGTGTCTCCGTCATTGTCAGTTAAGTTCTTCTCTGCCCCGGCATTCAACAGCAAACCCAGAACTCCCGCGTGGCCTTGATGAGAAGCCATCATCAACGCAGTAACACCGTCCAAGTTGCGTAAGTTCTTGTCGGCACCGGCCTCTAGCAGCACGCCAAGAGCTTCTGCGTGGCCTTCCGTCGCAGACAGCATCAGGGCAGTGTCGCCATTTCTGTTCGCCAAGTTCGTATCATCCCCATCCTCCAACAACAGACGCAAAACTTCTGGCTGGCCCTGATGAGCGGCCATCATTAGCGCTGTGTCACCGTCATTGTTGGCTACGGTCTTATCGGCACCAGCCTCCAGCAGAAAACGCAGCGTTTCAACATGGCCTTGGTGAGAAGCCATCATAAGGGCCGTAACGCCATCGTTGTCCTTTAAGTTCTTGTCGGCACGGGCCTCCAAGAGCGAAAGCAAAATCTCACGGTGGCCTCGATGAGAGGCCATGAGCAAAGCAGTGTCGCCGTCACGGTTGGATAAGTTCATGTCGGCACCGGCCTCCAATAGCAAGTCCAGGATGTCCACGTGTCCTTCTTGCGATGCTAGCATAAGGGCAGTGACGCCGTCTTTTTGGCTCGAATTCTTGTCGGCACCGGCCTGCAGCAGAAAACGCAATGCTTCAATGTTGCCTTGGCAAGAAGCCATCATCGTCGCGGTGACACCATCATCGTCCCTGCAGTTCTTGTCGGCACACGCCTCCAACAGCAAACGCGAGACCTCAATGTGGCCTCGATGAGAAGCTAGCATCAGCCCAGTGAGGCCGTCATTGTTCTGTAAATTCGCATCAGCAGTTGCTTCCAGCAGCAAACGCAGAACTTCCACGTGGCCGTGTGCAGATGCCAACAAGAGCGGACTACTGCCATGCCCATCGACCACATCAGGGTGCTGAGGATGCTGCAACATAGCCTCGACCTGCACGCGTTCGAGATTGAATTTGATTGAACCTTCTTGGATTTCTCACGCAGGCCGTATTAAAAGCTTTCAAGGTTTGGGCAAAAGCTTGGCAAACACGAACCTGGGACACGGAACCGTTCTCCGAAGCAGCAACCAGCTCGTCCACTTGCATCGGTGATGACGCGGAAAACGTAAGTAAGACCAGCTCCAGTTCAACAGGCGAATCCAAGTTGATAGAATCATCCAATGGATTGCCACAGTGGAACAATCTTTGTCGGAATCGCGCAGGCAAGCCATGCAACTGGTTCAGCTGCTGTTTCAAAGCCTTGACATCTCTCAGCTCCACTACAGGCATGCTTGCCACCTCTTCCCCCGACATCATCCTGACGCGCAGCATTGGGCGCCACGATCTGACGGCTGATGTATGCTTCTTCCCAAAAAAGTTGAATGCAAAAACCTTTGCTTGCACGGACACTTGTTTTCTGCCAGCCCTCGAAAAGCACAAGAGCAAGGATACGGAGTGCGCATTGTTGCGGAAATGCTTTTCTGCATGCCATGCTGAACGAAAAATAACGCGAAACCACCTGGGCCTGGGCCTAGCCACAGCTCAGTTTTGTATGCTGAAATGCGATACCGGGTTCTATTGTAACACATCTCAATATGTTTTGCATTCGCTTGTGCAGTGCGCGCATGTCAAACGCACCATCCACCCCAGCACCACCTGTGTTGAGAGACTGTGTGTTAACTTCTTAGTGCTCGGCACCAGTGGTTTGGCAGGTGAGCGAGGAAATGAGAGCTTTGACGACTACTACTGCTGCTGCTAGTACTTCTACTACTACTACAACTACTACAACTACTACTACTACTACTACTACTACTACTACTACTCCTGCTACCACAGCTACTACTACTGCCACGACGACGACGACTACTACCACGACTACTATGACTATTATCACTGCTACTACTTCTACTTCTACCTCTACCGCCTCTACCTCTACTTCTACTTCTACTCATACTTCTACCACTACTATGATCAGTACTACTACTACTACTACTACTACTACTACTA